GAGAAGTAAATATTAGTCTGCTCATATTGTTTTATTAGTATCATAAGATTATAGATTCAGAGTTGAAAGGGATCTCAGAGGATATTTAATCCATCTTTTTCTCATATAAGAAGAAGCAACTAAAGCCCATGGATATTAAATGACTTGTCAGAAATTACATAGGTAATCTAGATTCACTGAGTCCCTAAACCAGAGATGGGGAACCCGTGGCCTAGAGGCCACATGTGGCCTTCTAAGTCCTCGGGTGCAGTCCTTTGACTGAATCCAAACTGAATCCAAAAGGGGATTTGTTCTATGAAGTTTGGATTCAGTCAAAGGGCCTCACTTGAGGACCTAGAGGGACACATGTGGCCTTGAGGTTGAAGGTTCCCCACCCCTGCCCTAAACCAATGCTCATTACAATGAATGTTGATGCCTCCCAATGCCTTTTGATGAGACAAAATGAGACAGAATCGCATAGTGTATAGTATGCTGGAATAAAGGTCAGGGAGCCCTAGGTTCACCTCTTACCTTTGACAGTGTGTGATTCTAGCCAAATAATTTAACCAATAAATTCATCAGACAAACCTCTGCATTAGAAAGTGATGTCTTTTAAGTCAGGAACTCTTAATACCAAGAAATCACAGATTTGGACCAATTTTCCCACCCATTGTCTATGGTGTCTAAGTACATAACGAAATTTGCCTATTTATTTCTCTTCATTATATCAACTTTTTTTTTTCTGAGACCGTGATTGTGTCTCCTGGTTTGTTTGTTTGGTTGGTTGGTTGGGTTTTTTTGGGGGGAGGGGTTGGTGTCTCTTGTTTTTTTCAGTCTTCCGAAGCATAATATTTTGTTCTATCTCCTCATCTTCACTTTGAATGTCTCTATGTTTTAAATGTTTTGTTTCTAACAAACTGTTAGTTTCCTTCTCTATTTGGCTATTTTATGATTTTTTTAATTGAACATTTTTTATTAAAAGTTTTGAATTCCAAATTCTATCCTTCTCTCTCCCTCTCCTCCCCTCTCCCTGTGAAAGTAAGCAATCAAATATAGGTTATACATGTGCAATCATGTAAAACATTTCCATATTAGTCATTTTGTACAAGAAGATGCAAATGAAAGAAAGAAAGAAAGAAAGAAAGAAAGAAAGAAAGAAAGAAAGAAAGAAAGAAAGAAAGAAAGAAAGAAAGAAAGAAAGAAAAACAAAGAAAGTGACAAATAGCGTGTTTCAGTCTGTATTCAAACAATATCAGTTCTTTCTCTGGAGGCACATAGCATGCTTCATCATTAGTCCTTTGGGAATGAATTGGATCATTGTATTGCTGAGAATAGCTAAGTCATTCCAGTTTTCACTTCAAAAAAAAGAATAATTGTTTAGAGAATTTAACCTATTCACATATTGTTAAGTTTATGCTTCATTCCACTAAATGCCTGCCCACACTCATGAGCACTCACACAGCCACACACACATAAACACATACACATATAAATATACATTTACCTTTGCTTTTATGGTAGCAATTAGGTTTTGCAATCTGTTTTGTCTCTACTAATATGAATCCAGGCTATTTTCTCAATTCCACCTTTACCCTTTCTATCATGATCAATTTCTAATTTTTAAATTTTCTTTTATTTCTATTTACTCTTTTTTTTACCCTTTTCTTTCCCAGATCATGCAAAAATTATACAACATTCTTTTCTCCATTCCTCTCCATCATCTAATCCATTCTTCTATGTCCATGATATTAATTCATAATGCCACTATCCAAGAAATATTGTTCTCATTTAATCTCTTTCTTTTGCCTTTTCCTCCTAGAATGCTATAGAATCTATAACCAGGATTGCTAACTCTTGACAAGAGAGAGAGAATACTCTGCATCCCTATTTTGGGGAACCATTCTTGTTGCTTTTCTTTCTCTTCATTTTTTTATGCTTTTAATGTCATGCCTTCTCTTTAAACCAATAGCCCTTCTTCACTTTTCTCTGAGCCTGCCTAATAATCTAAAATCTTTCTCCCCAACAGTGGGAATTAGTACCAAGATGCATGATCAGCGTTGTGAAAGCTACTGTGAAGAGTATGAATTTCCCAAAGAGATTTATTTTCAGACACTTGTCTTACTCCCTCTATGATGTCCCTTTGTGCTACTGTTAAGTCATTTTCTTTCTGCTGGCTACACTGCCCCCACTGAATACGGACTGTTTGTGCCCAACCTATAGAGCCTTCTGAGCTCATATTGGTATGATCAGCCACAGCCATACATGCTGTATGCTGACCCTGACATCATGATGTTATTTTGGTCTGCTCTGAACATGAAGGACAAACAGCAACACATGCCCCAACTATCCACCCCCAAGATTCTTGGCTTACTTTCCCACACCCCTAAATGCAGAGGAAGAAATTGAAAGTTTCTCATGTAACTCTCTTCTCAAAACCTGACTAGGTTTGACTTCTTTCTGCTTTTCGAATCTGATAGGCATTCCTCTACATATCATTCGACTATCAAGTTATATATGAGAAAATAATCTTGTTTTGCCTAAAATATTATTTTGCTTTTTTCCCACCTATTCTTCTCTGGATTTTTTCTCACATATTTTTCTCTTATGTTCTTTCACCCATATTCTCTTTACCTTTTCAAGCTCACCCAAACAATGAAATTTGCTTTAAAATAAGTTAAACAAACATGAAGTTTACTCTATCCCACCAATATGCACTTGTCAAGGCCTCAACTTATTCAACTAAAACTTTTTTCTAAAAATATTAAACATTTTTTGTTCCAGTTAATCATGTAGAATATAGAATATCTGGTACATCTATGAGTTCTTCTATAGGAATGTAATATTTCAATTGTTTCATTTACTTCCATTGATTTATTGTAATGATAATACAATTCTTTACTATTCTACTTGTTTCTACTTGGAATTTGAAGGGTGTTTTTTTTCTAGCTACCAGCAAATTTTGGGTATGTATTGGTTAAATTTGTCTGTGATATTTTTAAGTGAGTTGAACTTGGAGGTTATTTCTATGAGTGTTTTGTGTATACTTTGATCTGAACTTTTCTATGTGCTTCCAACATTTGTATCCAGTTTTTTTTTCAATATTTCTTGTAGTGTAGTATTGAGTTTACTTTGTAATAATGATTTTCTGGAACAATAACTAGGGCTTAGATTTTCCTTTTTGCATTTTATCATCAAGTTCTATAGACTCATTTTGTCAAGCAGCCATGTATTCTTCCCATTTTTTTTGAGGGAAATTGCATTAATTTTCATTCTGTTTCTATATTTTTTGCCTTCTGTCTGATATTCTCTTTTTCAGATAACCCCCTATAATAAAAAATGTCCCATTTTTGTCTTTTGTTCTAAATGTTCTTGTCTCATGCTGTACTTTCTGATTGCTTTCTTAAAAGCTTTCTAATTGCTATCATTTAAAAAAAGCTTTCCGTAACTATTTAATTATTTTTAAATTATTGAGCAGATCTGGAAGTTTGTAGGAGTTCCTCCATTGTCATTTCAGGGGAGCATTTAGGAATATGTTATACTATCTGCTTGGAAGGCAAGGTCACATAATGAATAGAGTGCTGGCATTGGGTTTAGGAAGATCTAGATTCAAATATTGCTTCTGACAATTATTATCTGTATACCATCAAACAAGTTACTGGACCTAAATACCAACTTCTTATCTGTGAAATGAAAAGGTTGGAATAGATGGCATCTAAATCCGTGGTCCTATAAACTTATTTTTGGTGAATTTTGGCTCAGTTTCCTTTATTTAGAATTATTTGAACATTGTAATAGCTATTTTCTCTGAATACTTGTTAATTTCCCATTGATGTTTTTTTTTTCCTCTGCCAATCACTCTGTAGATTTTTCAATATCATCCTTACTGGAAAAAAAAAGTTACCCTGGTTATGATCAACACTTTTCTTACAAAAAATCTAGTGTTGTATTTTCTTCTCCCCATCATTCCTGTTATTACTTATTCTCAGACCATTCAGGTTGGATGATAACTGTTTCAGAAGATAAGGGTGACCAATAGAGACACTGCTGTAGGGACAATCTGGTTTAGTACTGTACTAGGGCCTATTCTAAATCTTTACCACTTTCACTCATCTGTGTTCCACCATACTCACTGAAATTGACTCCTCCCCCATCCCTAAAGTGTCCCTGGGAGCCACATGTACAGAGATTGGGTTAGACCCCACATCTACCTGGGACATTGCTAAAAAGAGTGTTCCCTGAAATATTTTCACTTGTTTTCCATCTTTCACTCTTTCTGCCACTGTGGCTCTTAAATTTACTTTATGACAAGTATTCCCTGTGTATTCTGGTGAAACATATAAAGTCTTTGTTCAGAATGATAATGTTTTTAAATACATAAATTAATATATATCTGCAATACATATGCACATATATGCTTACATACATACATACATGCATACACACAGACACACACAGCATACACATGCTAATGAATAGCCCCCAGGTTAAGAATCTCCATTTTACCCTTTGTTGTATTAAATACTTGTAATCAGCGGTGCATTCATGTATGCTTCTTTCCTTCAATTTCTTGACGCCCAGACTCCGTACAATGCCATACTTTCCCCCTTTTTTATTTGCAGTGATTAGTCTGTATCCTGGAAACTTACCTCATCTTGGTCTTTGAGTCCACAGCGGGTTAATTCTAAAAGTCAACACCTAAACTCATCTAAATTGTGAGGGTTGCCATTCCTTGAATCAGATTACATGCCTTGGGAGGAAGGAAGAGAACTGGTTGTGGGAAGTACCCAGAGCCTCCATTCAACCATGGGTATAGGTTCCCCCAAAAGAGATTGCCAAGGGATTTGCATCAAAAGTGTTTTTCCTAAAGTTGTCAAAGCTAAAAGAGTTGAAAGGCTACTCTAGGGGTAGTAGGTAGACTGTGGGATTATGGAAGTAACAGGGAATGGAAATTGATTAAGCAACAGGAAGGATAAACTAGTGAATTGGTCTTTTTTTATTGCTGTTTTTTCTGTAAGAATTACCTTGTGTTAGGTCCTTTCACATTTCCTCTTCATGTCATTGATGCATTTTTCACTATTTGGAACTCTTAATTTGCATTATTTAGTCCTGTAGGGGAAAACGAAGTATATTATTTAGTGTGCTATAATAATTCTCACTCTGCTATCTTCTCAAAATTTTGACCATCAGATTTTAGAAAGAAAATATAGAATGATGATCACAAGGGATGATCAAAGAAACTAACAATGGTTAGCCCAAAAGAAAGAATAATTTCAGGGTTATATGGAGCAGAAATTGAGACTTGTTTTATATGTGTGTGTGTGTGTATGTATATGTATAGTTATATATGTGTGTATATGTATGTATGTGTTTGTATGTATGTGTGTACACACACACACACACACATATATATATGTATATATATATATATATACATATATATATATATATATATATATATGTTCAACATCCATCCATCCACATACTAGTGAACAACCCCCAGGTTAAGAACCTCCATTTTACCCTCCATTATATTAAATAGTTGTAATCTCTAGGGGCTAGAACTAAGACCCTTATACAGAAGGTACAATAAAGTAGATTGTTACTCAAAAGTATAATTTGCCCAAATTTGAGTATTCTAAAAGTGGAATGTCACAAGATAGTAAGACCTGACCCTGTGGTGATGTTTAATCATATGCCAAACAACCACTGATCATGAATATTTTGGATAGAATTTAGGCATCATGGTTCCCCAGTCTCTCTTAGTTTCTATGATTTAATAAACTCTTCTATAATAATGATATCCCTTAGGATCTTGTTACAACTGAGTCCCTTCAAATAGTTTTTCTTCCTGTTTTGCCTGTAATGGGATCTATTTCATATTATTTTTAAAAGGAAGCACTTGCTCATAAGAATAGTAATATAGTTTGGTAAATTCATAATTACAGGACACAGATAAGGATGAATTCACTTTATAGTTGAAAGTGCAGTTGAAATAAATTATGAAATAATACTGCTCTCCCACATTACTGCTCATTTAGAAATTGTTCTTTTTTTTACTAAACATTTCATTCTAAAATTAAGTTGGATTGTAGAGTAAAAATGAGGGCCATTGTTAAATTCTAATAAGTAGAAGATGCATACATTCCGATAGGGGAAGAAGAAACAAGTGTCCCTTGAGAATTGCACTAAATACAAGAGTTACATGGAGGTAAAAGAAAGGCAAACATCAGGCCAGAATGTAGTTTTTGTGTGTTTGTGTGTTTTAAGATGGGGGAAGGAATGGAGGGAGTAGAAGATTATACTATAGAACAAATGGGGAGAGGGAATTCAATATTGCTCGTAATTGGGGTGAACTATATGAAATGTATACAAATGTGAAGGAAGGGGTGAGATGAGAAGGCATTTTGTGAACTATATTCTTATCCAAAGTAGTCAAAGGAGACCTGAACTTATATACAGTTCAGCATAGAAATACATTAATTTCAACAAGGAAATAGTTTGGAAAAGAGAAGGGGAAAAGTGGGATTTAATATGGAGGGCTGATCTTAAGACAGGGGTTAAAATTACAGAAAGAAAGAGGCAGCTAAGTGGTACAGTGAATGGACCACTCAACTAGTAGCCACAAAGATCTGGTTTCAAATATATCCCCAGACACCACATGTGTAACTCTGGGCCAGTCTATAGCTTTCAGTTTTTTTATCTGTATATTGAGTGGGTTGGGCTGAGTGGCCCCTAAATTATCTTCAAGTTCTTAATCTATAATCTATAATCTCATTCATAGCTTTTCATGGATCATTTATAAAAAATAACCACATACCATGACATAGAGAACTAATAAACAGATGTAGACAAATAAAACTATTAAAGATATCCTTTAATAATCATAATGAAGTAAAAATTATAATCAGTAAGAAGAACAAATTTGAAGAAAGGCTTCCAAATCAAATAGAAACTAGATAATATAATTCTAAAAATGTTTGGATCAAAAAACAAATCATAGAATAATAGATACTTTTTTATTTAAAACATATGTATACATATATATGTATATATACATTTTGACAATGTGGCAAAACTTTTAGAAAACTTTTAGATTTTAGGAAATTTTACATTTCTAAATGTATACAACAACAAAGGAGAATAAAGAACAAATAATTAAGGATACAATTAAAATACTAAACACAAGCATATAGACTATAAAAATTAACAGATTAACAAAATTTTAAAAAATCAATTGATAAAATGAAAAGCAGATTAAAAAACTAATAAACTGTGGAAAGGATTGTTCACTAATTTGATAAAAGAGGGGAAATTCTACAATCTGTGAGCATATGATAATATAAAAATAAAAAACTAGAATTTATAACAACTGAAAAGGTATCAAGGAAATTATTAGAAATTAGTTTGTACAGTGTATATAAACATAATAAATAGAAAACTATATTGATACCTATATTGATACCCATAAATGAAATGAGAAATAAAGAACTTAAACAACCTCAACTCAAAATTATAAATTGATGAGTTAAGAATTAACTCTCAAGGGAAAAAAAATACCCAGGTTCAGATGGATTCACTGGGGAATTCTATCAGATTATCAAAGATCAATTAACTTCAGTATGTTACTTGCAAAAATAGAAGATAAAGGCATCCTTTCAAACTCTTTCTTTGAGACAAATATGGTTCTTTTACCAAAACTGGAATAAAGCATGGAAAAAAAGTCTAAAGATATCTCTAATGAATACTTCTGTAAGAATATTAAATAAATTATTAGACAAGAGTTTACAGAAACACATAAAAATTATGCAACATCATCATATGAGTTATACCAGAAATTTAGTGTTTGTTCAATATTAAGAAAACTTCAAGTACTATGAACCATATTAATAAAAATAAAAATTCCATGGTTATATTATTTGCTTTTTACAAAAATGCAATACCCATTTTTATTAAAATCCTTCTGATTTACGGACCTTTCCTTAATTTGAAAGGCACTATTTAAAAACAAAAATAGCTTTGCTTGTAATGAAGAAATGCCAAAGGCCTTTAAAATAAAATCAGGAGCAAAACATGAATGTCTATTTTTACCACTATTAATTACTCTACTTATAAAAATTCCAATAATACATGCTAAAGAAATTGAAAGAAAAAGCAAAGTAAATAAGAACAAAAATTATTACTTTTTTATAGATTATCTGGTACTTAGAAGACCTTAGAAATTAAATTAAAAATGGTAACCAAAACAATCAGTACTCTCTGTAAGGTAGTTGAACATAAAATAAACCTATAAATATTATCAACCTTTTTGTAGAGCACCAACTGAATCCAGCAGGAAGGGATAGAAAAATGAATTTCATTCAATATGTCTATGGGATATATAAAATATATGGGGATCTATCAATCAAATTCACTCATAAATTATATGAAGATTTAAGTCATGTATCAGTCAAATAATTCATTACATTCATAAAATATATAAATAATATAAATGTTATAAAATTGATCCTTTTAATTATATAAAATCGAAAAGAGTTTGTACAAAGAAAATCAATACAGCTAATTAGAAGAAAAACAGTTATAACTTAAAAAAAATCTTTGAAATAAATTTTGCTAATGAAATTCTGATATATAGGAAGTTAATACAAATATATAAACACAAAAGCCATTCCCTAATAGTCAAATTGTACAAGGTTATAAATATTTTCAAAAGAAGTGTAAGGTACCTTCAGCTATATGAAAAATGTATTCTAAATCACTATAAGAGAAATACAAATTTTAGACGTTCTGAGTTGTCACTTTTTTACCCATTTTATTAGCTAAAATGATAATAAAAGAGAAACAATGATTGTTGTATTGGGTGTGGGAGGTAAGTAACACTAACTGATGCACTGCCGGCAGATCTGTGAGATTACCCAACTGTTTTGGGAAACATTTTGAAACTTTATTCCCTAAAATCCTTAAGTTATGTATAACCTTTATCCCAGTGATCCCACTAGTAAACATATAATCAAATATGATCAAAGGCAGTGGGAAAAGATTCATATAAAAATATTCATAGCAGCACTTTTGTTAAAATACCCATGAAGCCACAACATGACATTGAGTTATTTATGATCAAAAGGTGGGAAGATGCTCACTTCTAAACCTTCCAACAAAAGATAATCATGATCTTTGCTCCAATATGACTATACAACACCCTACAACCATCATTGTTCAGTACGCCTCAATTCTGCTGCCTCCCGCTCCTGGTCTTTGTGGCTGTACTTAGGCATTGTACCTGGATAGAGTTATACTCTAGCCATGACCTCGGTCTGACAGCAGTTTTAAGGCAAAATTACTGAATCATATTTAGTAACATTCCCAGATCATCATCTAGATCTGATAGGCACTCTGGTCTGCAATATAGGGCAGCAGCCTATGAGTATGAGCCCCTTCCCCTCCCCCTCATCCCTTTTTATTTTGTTTGAAACAGAGTAAACTACATGGGATAAACAGACTTGGATGACTTGAAATATAAATCACAGATATCATTAGATTATTGCTCTAATCCCCAAACTTACTCCTCTTTGGAGGAGTGAACCATCATTCTTACAGTAACCTATATTTATAACCTCAGTAGCATCTTCAACTTTTCAAATTTTTTGACTCCCCTTATTAAATCAATTGTTAAATCTCATCTTATCAATCTTCATAACACCTCTCACACCTGTCCCCATGGTTCTCCTAATACAGCCACCTCTCTAGTTCAGACCTTCATCAACTGTCACATCAGTTATTGCACTAACCTCCTAATTTAGCTTCCTGCCACTAATCTGTCTCCTCTTCAATAGATCCTCTGAGTAGCTGCCAAATTGCTCTTTTTTTTTTCCTAAAGCACAGGTCTATCCATGCCACTCCTACTACTCAATAAACTCCAGTAACATCTTATTGACTCTACAATCAAATGTATAGTTCATCTTTATGTCATTCTTTTTAATTTCCAATTTTGCATAGATTTTATAAGGTACATATTTATTAGCGTCATGCTAAGAGAGATAAAAAAATCCTATGTCTGAGGTCTGTAAACCTGGGTCTTGAAGCTTCAAATCCTTGATGT